TGAAGGTATGTTGAAAGATGCAGTATACTTACTGAAAGGCATCATAACTCGTGTAATCGCTCAATCAGTGTTTCAGCAGCGGAAAGACGTCAATAAAACAGCATAGCTTGTCACTAGCATTATATTTACCTCAACAGGCAAGTGATTCAGTGTCCACAACTTCCTATAAATGGTTCCTATAAATGAACTCTTGCACTAAATAAATGCACCATGTTAGCCTTTTTTACTATTTTTAATTTTACTTAACCTGTTAATGATATCTTGATTATTTAATGTATGTTTAAAATATCTTTCATGAAAATGACAACTGTGTAAAGTATTATATTTCAATAACAAATTAGAGTAAAACACAAGTTAATGCAAAAACTGCCTTATGTTCAGTTTACATGTTTTCATACAATGTGTTGTGTGTTGATTATTATATCTAAAAAATAAATAGCATCTGAATTTAGGTTAAAAGTCTAGGCTACAACCTTTAATGTTATAGTAATGTGCGGCTCCCTATGTAGTTTACAGATTTAGCAGATTTTTTTTTAATCCTTGTGAAACGTTTAATTGTAATTGAATTAATTTAAAGACAAAGACAATTTTTTCGTTAAACCACTGTTTAAAAAAGAAAAGGAAAAAAAAGAAGCAATTTTAGCTTTCTAAACCGAACCGAATCGAACCGAACCGAGACGTCAAAACCGTGGGAAAACCGAACCGTCAATTTTGTGTATCGTTACACCCCTAATGTTCTGTGTGTCTCTATGTGAATAAACACTGCAGTTTCGTCTACTACTAAAGCATGCGTGACGCTCACTTCACAAGCATTTCACCATTTCATTTGATAAAACTATCATATCACAGAAACTCAACGGTATTCACGAGTCACAACAACCCGTCAAAATAAAAGTTCGGTTTAACTTGAAGAAATTATAACAGAAATATATTAGGCTACTATTGCCCAGTAGAGTGTTCGTCTTCAAGAAATAATGATGATAATAATAATAACCAATCTGACTATATTACTAGGGATGCATAATATTGTGGAATATCATTGAAATCTTAAAGACTTCAAAAATCATCGGCATTGGCCCGTGTGCAAGGAGTACTAGCAATAAGATCACGTCAGCAGTTTGGTCATTCTTGAAGTGAACTTGTTATTAGACTAATAAAATAACATTTGTTATTTCTGTTTCTGAATAAATAAAGCAGTAGCCTAATTAATGTCTTAAAATCACGAGTCTGATTTGATTTAATGGTCAGCACAGCAGCTATAGCCTACATGACTAATAAAAATCACAAACCTTGTAAATTTAAATAATTTTATTTATAGTTTATTAATGTATAATATTTTATTTCAAATGGATGATGAAAAATGCCAAAATTAGAAAACTATCTGCATATCGGTAAAAATCCAATATTGTGCATCTCTATATATCACACAGATAGAAATATTATAAACACATCTGATCAAGTAGAAATAGCTCCTTAAAGGAATAGTTCACCGAAAAATGAAAATTCTGTCATGTCTTTCCAAATCTGTCTGTCTTTTGCAGAACACAAAATAATTTTGAAGAATTCTGGGAGTCAAAATAACACATGACCTCATTGACACCATATTTTCAAAAAGTCTTATTTTGTGTTCCACAGATGAAAAACTTTTCATGACAGAAAGAATTGTCATTTTCGGGTAAAATATCCCTTAAATGTAGACATTTTAACAAGTTTTCATTTTGAGGTTGTGGTGTGTATGTTAAAAGATAAATACACCATGTTACTTGCCATTTCTTTGTAATTGTTTGTTAATTTTACTAGCAATTTGAAAATTGTTTATTCACCGAATTTAATTTTTCAGTGTAGAAGTTTGAGACTTGTTAATATTTTTACAATTCAGTTTGGTGACATATAAACGAGACGCATCACCTTTAAGGTCCAAATGCACAAGGTTAATAATTATGCTTTATTTAAACATGAATGCAGTAGAACTGGTCTGATGCAGTCACAAATGCACACACTCTTTAAGAACACACGTTATCAGTCTCATAGGATAGAGTTTCCTCCAGTAACGGCTCCAGTAGGCCTCTGTCTCCGTCCCTGTCTTTGTCACTGCAGTGCGGCCCCTGGCCCCTAATGAGGAAACCTGCTACTCAGGGATAGAGATCGCATTCACAGACCCAAACACACATACACATAGTCTTCTTTCTCTCTCTCTCATCCTGCTCCCAGGCACCTCAGCCAAAAGACGGAGAGTTTGCAGTAAGACGAAAGGCTGCGGGCGTGGAGGAGTGTGTGTGTGTGTGTGTGTTTGTGTGAGTACAGGATGAACAGGGCTGTCAGTAATACATAATGTATCCAGAGGACCACCGGGACCGCTGCACAAATAGGGGCCCAGGGACACCACCAAGAGAGAAAGAGAGCGAAAGAGTGAGTGATAAGGAAGGAGAGGAGAAAGGGGAGTGTTCTGGTGGTATATGGTCCATTGAAAGCAGCCTGAAGGGTAATTGGATAGGGCAAGTAACCTGCGGATCAAAAAAGATAGCGAAGCGATGGAAGGTCATAGCTGCAGGGGGGATAGGGAGGCCCCTTTCGGTGTGTGAGATTGGGGGGTAATCTGATACATAGTGTGGCCAGAGGCCCTCATGCTCGTATACGCTTTCAAGACTCAAGACAGCCCTTGCAGTGAAATCCAAGATGGTGGAGACTCTCTTCCCCTTGTTTTTCTCTACCTTCAGGGATGGGGATGTGCCTCATTAGCTATTGTAGCATGTTTGTTGGGCTCCGTCAGACCCTGTCTCCACGTCTACTGTGTCTGTCCCAGCTTTTGAAGCCGCACATAATGGATTCCTAATCAAGATCTCGGGCCCAGATGAAAAAACCTGCATCTCCTCCAGAACAAAGACAGAAACACACACACTCAATTCTGGCTGGAATACGGCAGGATAAATAAACAAGAGGACTGAAATGTATAACAAGTAGAATGCCACATAAAAACACACTTATTATGATCTACATGCACTGGTTCTCATTTCCTCTCTGTGAATTTGTGTTGTGGCGTCACTAACGGTGGGTGTTTTAAGGTCAGTGTTCTGACCTTTCTCACTGTGGATCTACCATTTGCTTTTCTAGCTGCCCACACATTTCACCTTTCAGCCCAAATGTAGAAAGAGAAAGAGAGAGAGGAAAACACTTTGTGTACTGCCTGCATTTTTGTCATGCTGCTACATGCTATCTCTCCGTCTCCTTGACAGCCTCCACTCTCTCTCTCTCTCTCTCTCTCTCTCTCTATGCTCAGAGCTTCAGAGCCTTAGGGAGAGAAGGAGGGACAGAGATAGTTTTATAGAAAATAAGAGAAGAAAAAAGAGAATGAGGGAAAAGTAGAGGATTTCGCTTTATTAAAGGAATACTTCACAATCATTTACTCATTCCAAACCTGAATGCTTTATTTTTCTCTTGCAGTTTTTCAGAAAATGGATGTTCTTTACTTACAATGAAAGTGAATGGTGACCAGAGGCTGTCAAACTTCAAGATGACAAAAAGCACAATAAAAGTAGCCCAAGCTAATTTTTTTAAGCTTTTGTTTTAAAGCTTGACAGTCCCTGGGCATCATTAACTTTCATTGTATGGAAACATACAATGAAACATCTCAAGGAACATCTCATATTTTAAAAAAAAATGCTTTATGAACCTATTTCTCAACCCATCTTTTGCTGTATACATAGCCTGAAGCAACATGATAATGGAGTCTACTACTTAATGTTTGAAAAAGAAGTCTGTCAGCCAGGCTTGATGCCATTGTTGACAGACAAACAGCACTTTGTTCACAATTCTGACTCAATTCAGATAATTTAGCCATACAGTGTGCACTTTGTTTCTATTTAAATTATTACTATACCATGAAATTTGAACCGCCTCATTGGATGAAAATTAGATTTCATGATGATCAAGTTTGTAATAGTAATAGTCCTTCCTAAAAACTTTTCTTTTTTTGGGGACAATTGGACATTATTAAGGGGAATACTCAATGTGGTTGTACTTGATGTGTAACCCACTGCATTATCCATGGCTAACTCAGAAATCATTTTATCTTCTGTATGGAGCCACAGCTAAAAGGCTGGGATCGTCAAAATATTTGTAAATGTATATTTGCACAAAGCAGGAGAGATTATGGAGGTTGATGTGAAATAAAGATTATGTGTATGAATATGTATATGTGAAAAATAGATTTTTGGTTGGAAATGCAAACATATAGCTTTTCAAACTTAACTTAACAAAAACTTATAAGCCACTGATGTCGTACTTGCATGACAGTAGAGGTAAAACAGCACAGTGCACCACTGATGACATCAAATACACTGTTGCGTGATGCTTGATCTCACTGTCTGATCTGGATTCAGGTCTTATCAGCCGTCACAGACATACAGATCTCTGTTCGAACTTGTAAAGCATGAACATGATCTGTGGGAGGGACCACTCAAAGAAATTTATCAAATTGAAATAATGTATGTTGCCTCATGGCACACTTTTTGAGTTGTTCTATTTTGAATTGAGTTAAAGGTGTAATTTTACTCTTTCTTTTGTTTTCCATATATTGTCAACTTATTATTTATTTTACATTTACAAGAACAATCTGCTTAACTAATTTATGCCTTTTTTACAGTTTATTTTTAGTAAATGGTATTTTTGGATTGCAGAGGGAGCACCTTTAAAACAATCATGATATGACCATGAAATCTCTTCAAGTTTCTTGTTGAAATAAGTGTCTGCACACAGTCAGTTTTAGTTATGTTGTCACGTGAGCGAAATCACAGCACAAGCTATCCATGATCTCTTCTCTTCTATAAAAAATAGCGAAGAAACAAACCATAAAATGTATATCCAAAAAATAAATGCATCCAAAGGGCAAATGTAAATGTTTGTGTTATGTTATGTTATGTTATGTTATGTTATGTTATGTTATTTAACCTATAGAAATAGTAACCACTAACTATGAACATGTTGTTATTTTGTTTCCATAGGGACATCAGCATGAACAACATCACTGAGCTGCCTGCTAATGTCTTCAGAAACCTGCCCTATCTGGAAGAACTGTGAGGATGATATCTGTTTTTTTCTCTTTCACTATTTTCCTCTTGCTTTGTTTTCTTCTACTTATGTTTGACACTGTTTTCAAGTACTGTCATGGAAAAAAATGATACATGGAACACCCCTATAATGATTTGAAATGATCTTTTGCTCAGCCTTTATTTTTGAGTATGGCCCTATTTAGTGATATTTTGCATATTTTTAGATTTTTAAATGTTTATAGAACTGCTGAAACAACTTTAAAACTAAATACACATGGCATCCATTAAATCTCTGCTGGTTTCAGTGTCCGCTTGTTGGATTACGCGAGCTCCGTCCATTGTCTTCATTTCTTTTGATAGTCACCACATTGTGTCGCTGTCCATTTACATAAATTAAAGTCTGCTCAACTTTGACGCAGCAGTCATTGTTGTATTATATTGCCTCGGATCGGCAACTATCATTGAAAATGTGTGACTTCCAAACGCTTTGACTCTGCAGTCACTGTTTATGCACAACTGCAGTCACACCAGCAAATTTTCATGGACGAAATCCAATCATTTTAATAGGAATCCACATGAGATTTCCCCATACAGATTTTGTATTTTGTTGAAGTTGGTCACGCAAATTCACCACATTGACCAACAGAAAGCTGCTTGGTTTGAAAGTGACTTCTGTGTGAGCCGTGCTTCATACATCGCTACTCTAGTAATAGACAATTGATCTTTTTTGCCCCACAATATTTTGCTAATATGACAGTACCTTTATTTAAGGATTCTGGCTTAGTGGCCCAGAAAACTCATCCATGTTGTAGATATTCAGTATAACAACACTATCGCAAGTATGATTTGGCTTTTTGTTCTTTATCATGTTAAACAGATACAATAGAATGGATTTACAGATGAACAAGCTACACACTGTCAATTAGACCTTGAGAGTTTTCTTCAAAAATAAAATGCAAATACCTACTGCAGAGAATAAGTGGGGAAAGAGATTTGACCACCCACAGCACCATCCGCCTGGTTCAGGACATCTGGAACAGTCTCATAGCTTACCTTATTGTTAGTCAGAGCATCTCAGGATTACTACGGGTGTCAGATGTCAACAAGCTGGCTTTTGAAGCGATGTCTAACTTGTTCATATTGTGTTAATGGCATTAAAGGAACAAACACATGCTGTTTTTGACTGTTCTGGAGTGTCTGTATCAGTATGTCTGAAAAAAGTTCTGAACTCTCATTGGGTGTCTGATCTTTTTCCATGTGTTTGTCTTTTCTCTACTCCTTCACTCATCCCGTGTCTGCCCATCTGCGGGAAGGGCAGATAACATCTGTCTAAGTGATATCAGGTACCAGCGCTTCCAGACTGCTGAAATGACCAGCTCTCAAAGTCGGCTCCCCCTAGTTGTTCACTCTTTTTTTCGCTCTTTTCCTTTTTTATTCGTTTGATTGGAGTGTGTTTTCTTACCCTTGTGTGTCTTTCATCCACTCCAATCTCCTCGGCTCTCATTCCTAAACAGTCCTCCAGCGCTTTGTCAAAGGCCAATTTGCTTTTCAACGCATTGTGAGAAGGAATGCATGGCAGGAAGAAGGAGGGCAAAACAATGGTTTCCGTGACAACTGGAGTTTTCAGAAGCGTGTGCTATCTGGAAATGGGTTGGGGGGTGCAGGAGATCTCAGGGACCTGTACAGCACTGTATTGTGCCAGATGCTCTTTGTCAGGTTGCTCATGGTTCAGTGAACAGTGTGGTTAATCAGAGGGTCAGGAGTTCACTTTCTGGGCTTACATTTATCTTTAAACACATCCTAGACTGTTGTAACCACTCAAAAGCTACATTGCAAGATCATCAACTAGCCTATAATATCCATACATAAAAAAATATATATATATATCCTATTTTACCCAATATTTTTCCCTTTTATATACCGTTAAAAAGCTTGGGCTCAGTAAGATATTAGAATGACATAAGAATGATTTCTGAAGCATCATATGACACCGAAGACTGGAGTTATAGCTGGTTAAAATTCAGCTTTTCCAAATTGTAATAATAGAACTTTTGAACTGTGTGTGTGTGTGGTCCAGGTAAACCATACGTTGTGATGACAAAATGTCCCCACAAAGATGGCAATATCTGAAATCCTTGTCGGGACTCCGTGTGCAGACATGTTTTGGTCCCCTTGAGGAAAACAGCTTATAAATCAGATTAAATTATGTTTTGGGAAATTGTAAAAATGCTGAAAGTTTTCTGTGATAATGAAAATATTTTATTTAAAACACTGGTGACATAAAAATGACATGAAAATTAAGCGTAGCGTCGGTTCTGGCAGGTCACGTTAGTCGACTTACATCAGCTGACTCTCAGCTGAACCACGTCTACCTATGAATATGACGCCTATCACTGTATACATATAAGCTCCTTCAGTATTATTTATTAGAAGCTATTGCGTTTCTCAGGAGCTAATTAAATGACGAAATTCGGCAGGCAAACCGCATCATCTCACAAGGAATCGTGCAATCGGGAATTTAGCGAGAGGAATTCGTTCCCCACAAGGATTTCACCTCAGATTAATTCAAGTTTGTGAACTTGAACACGAGATTCGCCGCATTGATCATAAGTTGCCTGATTTAGAAGTGACCTCATTCTGCATTGCTGCTCGCATCACTGCATTATTGACACAGGACTCGATGTGATTCACTCACCATTCATCTCTGAAAGTCTTCACGAAGCTAAGCTAAGTTCCTTTTTAATGCTCATTGCTAAAAGCTATCAGGGTATTGGCAACATGCTTGTTGCTAATGCTATCCGTGTTGCTTGGGCTTATCTAGTCGTTTGCTAGGCTTATGCGATCGAATTGGCTATGTGCGTTATTTATCTGTTGTCATTGGCAACTGCTCGTTGCACATGCTGTGCTTTTAGCACTATGCAGCACAGATTCAGGCAGATTCATTTCTGCTGTTCTGCGGCACAGCTCTAAAAAGACATAGTAACAGTCACTATTCAGTTGAGTCAGTTCAGCGTTGATTCTGTCGGGTGTCGGACACACACATCTAGTTCTTGGAAACACGCCGTTCTTAAAACTATTGGGAATATGCTTGCTCTAAAGGCTAACTTATCTGTTGTAATTCAAACACGCTTGTTCTTAAGGCTATTATTTAGGTTATTTAGCCCAGTCGTTATTTGGAACATGGCTGTGTTTTAGGCTTAATTATATCTGGTGTCATTGTCACATTCTGTGCTAAGCTTATCCAGGTATCAGCAAAATGCTTTCGTTGTTTCAGCAACATTGCTATCAGTACTGTACTGGTTGCTAATGCAATGCAAATGTTATCGAATATATGCTCATTACTTAGGCTTTATAGTATTATTGAGCATACTGTACTAAGCGACATGCTGTGGTAATCAAAGCGTTGTTTTAGCCTTATCTGGTTGCATAGAATAAAGAATTCGCTTTTTTTTTTCAATACGATTTTTGCAACATGCTGTGTTAAAGTTAGCACGTATGCTTGTGGCTAAAGCTTATCTAGATTATTGGTAACATCTTGTGCAAATACACATAAGGTATGTTCACTGCAGAGGTCTGTCATTCAATACTAACAACATTGTAGCTTGATGATCCCGTGAATGAGTGTGGAATCATGGGAGTCGTCATCTTCACCTCCACAACCAATGGAATTCAGTACGACAGGAGCAGAAATAATTTTCATGAATGAGGAACCACACTGTACTTCATTGCTTAGCTGCCTACTGCATATTACTCAGAGCTACAGGGTGTATGCTTCCCTGACCGGACTACACTAGTTTTAATACTAGTCCTATGGTTATATAACATGCTTGTTGTATCAGATTTTGTAATTGTAATAATAATAATTATTATTATTATTTCGTTATAAAAATGCTTGAATCTTGTATCGGTTTTGTTGCCGCTAGTCTGAGCTATTGCTGTAGGGTGTATGTTTCCCCTGCCAAACTACACTAGTTTTAGCAATAATTCTGTGATTTATACAACATGCTTGTTGTATCGGTTTTTGCTGCCACTAGTCAGAGCTATTGCTGTAGGGTGTATGCTTCCCCTGCCAAACTACACTAGTTTTAGCAGTAGTTACGCAAGTATTGTTGTGTTTTGCTGCCGCTAGGGGTGTAAGCTTCCCCCAATAGATCCTATACAACTGTTAAATTGGCTACGGCAACACGCTTGTTGCAATGTGTCTGCTTGCTCCTGCTTGGAGTGATGCTTCCCCCACAATATTGGATCTATAGTACTCAACATATGCCACTAACATCAGGATGTATTAAAGGTGCTCTATGTAGCTTTTCTTCTAAAATGAATCCTTTTTTTATTGCCTATGTGTGAAGGGGTTGTAATCACACATTACAATGATCCACTTGTCGGGTTTTGCTATTACCTCTGAAGGCCAATATTCATATTTATATGTGAAGTCTCCGGGTCGGATTTACCGCGAAATCCATCGGATGTGACGTGCATGTGTGCTCCCGAGCGACGGCACTTCAGCTTACGTCATGGAGTCTGATAACACCCCAAAACGACCAGCCTCCAGCACAACACAGACTCCAACACAAACACCACATAAAAAAAGTTTTATCTGCTGAGGCTCGTCAGGCCAAACGTGATTCTGATCGACTCAGGACGAAAACACGGATCAACATCGGCAGAGCTTTTGAATTATTAGTAAACTCTAATGAAATAGCAAGGTAAACTACATGAGACATGAAATTAATACAAAAGACTGTTCCAGGATAACAAAGTAGGTGCTTTAGGATGTAACTTATTTTATGTACTAGATCTACTGTCTAACGTTACTCATCCCACTACTATCATATTGTTTATAATAAACATTTCCAGACACGTTCAGTACAGTAATGTTACTTCCTACTGTCTTACTGTTACACTGACATTGTTCAGTCTAGTTCACCGTTTTCGTTATCATATACCTTCACCTATGTTGACATTGCTGATTGTGAAAGATACACGAATAGTTAGTGAAATGCCTTATGCTAACACCACATGCC